GTCCTTTTCTGGTATACCATCGATATAAATTTTGCTCATTCAAGAGCTGATTAACGCGTTGACCTGCGATTGCGCATGCTCTTCGCTGACTACGCCCCTGCGCTCAGACGCGTTTTTATGGCGAAGTGCGACGACGCCTGTCGAATTATCTTTGAAATTATTTTTTCATCTCAACAAACAGCGTTTCGATTATATATAAGTGAATGATAATGTATGTTTAGATAGTTCCTTTTCCTGTATTTGATTTTATAATTAATCTAATGGAATTGTAGCGATTATCGTACAAACGTGCATCTCTCGCATTCAGAATGCGCTCGTATGATGCTAATGATAGAATTTTTGCAGAGATTAAAATGGCAACGAGGAGCCGAAGAAGTGGTGCTGGATCAGATACTCTTAACCCAGCAATGATTTATTTGTTGGGTACGGGTAGACTGAAAAAAGAATTGGAACAGCGGGGCTTGGACATCACGGGCAATAAAAATTTGCTTGCAGATCGTTTGCAGGTCCGATTTTTTTAAAAGTCTTTTCAGTGATTCTGACGAAGATATCTCACCATCAATGCCATTCGAAACTGATCGCGTCCGAGTATGTCGGAGAATAAAATGTGATCAGTACGTCAGTTCGATTTGGATTGGCGATACAATTGATGCATTGAATGCTTGCGGTGGGAATATGATCTGCTCTATAATTAATGTTTCAGCAAGCAGTTGATCTGGAACGTATGGGGCATCATTCGTATTCTCCGCCACCCGTCACTGAGAAATGTCCTCGAAAAACAGCAACAAAAAGAACAGCAAAAGCGGTTGGCATTCACCGAAATCGTTCTAATTGTACTTTATTTTTTGTGGAGTTGTGAATCTTCGTAGATGTATTGTAAGCTGTCTTCGTTTTACGGCAATTCTCTCTTCATCAGGCAGTTTTCGATGATATCCTGTTAGCAACTGTAAAAAATTCAATGCTAGAATTGACGGAGTGAATTTCAGAAAGCGCAAGTGGAAGTTAGCGAAAACGAGGTATTGGCTGACGAATCAGAACCAGTAATAACATCACCGCAGGCAAAAAAGAAGAAGGTTGATCAGAGTGAAGCGGAACGGATCGAAGAGATCGAAATCGTTGAAGAATCGTTTTCAATCGAATTTTCAGTTCGTTTGTTTTGATTTCAACTCAGTGAAGATGAAAGTATTGACTTTAGGCAAATCTTATTTTGCTGGATTCCCTGTTTAACTGTAAAGCGGTGAATTTTTTCAGTTTTGAGTAGTTGGCCAATAGGTGTTATTCTACCGTGTACGTCTCAATAAGCTGACTGACTTTGCGTGACATTAAAATGAACTGCTCATTCCAGGATGAAACTTCCACGGATCTGAATGCAGTAGCTGGAGTTTCATCTTTGCCTTCTGAAAAACCAGCTGACTTAGAAGCACCAGTAAACAACACTAAGAAGAGTCAGTCTAAAAGCAAAAAAACTTCTCCAACTCGCAAAAAACCTTCTACTAAAAAATCAAGTTATCAGAGATTATCTAAAGATGATTCTACGGAAGCGCCTGCGGCTCATCGTACAAGGGTGAGTTATTCTCTAGTTTTTCTGATCAGAATTAATTCATTATTCAACTCGTTTAGTATTATTTGTTAGCACTACTTTAATTCCGTTATCAACGTTCTTGTTTGGATGAGAAGGCTTCATCTCGCTATGATTGTAGGTATGTTGGTGTTGTTATGTCTCAGTTCAATGATTAGATGAGTACAGTTCCATCGTCAATTATTTCCTATTTTTCAGAGAAGTAGTGAGGAGATGAAGCTGGAAATAGCGGAAGAAAACGAATCAACGGATAGTACAGACAGTGAACAAGAGGAACAGCTGGGATTGAAATTGAAGATCGATATGAAAAACAAAAAGATTGAAAAAGAGAAATCGGTTACAAAGGTCAGAAAAGAAAAGGAAGCGGAGAAAAATTATTCAGCTGAGAATGAATCGAACGACTCAAAACCAAAAAAAGGTCTCGTTCTGAAATTGAAACTCGATCTCAACAAGAGCATTCGTATGTCGGAAAGTGAGCCGAAGAAAGCACCACCGTCGGTGTTGATAAAGACCGTTACGGTAGATTCTGATTCTGAAACGAGCAAGGCGGCCAGTGGGTCAGAAAGGAGTTCGGCCAAAGAAGAGGGCGAATCGAGCAAACTGGTCATAAAATTACCGAGCGATCGTTCGTGTGGTTCAGCGTCACCTCTTTCACAAATCAGTCCATCGAATGTATGTTCCTGCGATCATTTGCATCATTCGATGATTTATTTATTACATTCAATCTTTTGCTACAAACGATTGATCATCTCAATATTAATTGTGAACCCAAAACGAGAATGTGATTAATGATCTGTTTTGCAGTCATCAACAGATATGAGTAAGGGGAAACAACAGTCATCGGAAAGTAGTGCAGTTGATAAGTCCAAAGTCTTATCATCAGATGCCGAAAAGAAGAAAGCATCGTTAAGTCGCAAGAAGATCCCGTTGCGTATGCAGGCACCAATTGATGTGCTTGATTCCATTTTCGATAAACAGGTTCATTCTTCTGCAGTTCTGATTACACAAGTGGTTGCGTTTTACAGTTTAACAGTTGTTTTATCGGTGCCGGCGGGCACAGCAGTAAAGTAATTCTTAAAGTTTTCCCTTACGGTAAACTTACACTGCTATCCCTTTCTTGGTTCGTCCCCTTTTTCCATTTATATTGAAATACAGCCATGCTGGAGTCTTCGTTGTTTCCTCACAATGTTAGAGTATTCGTTGTCAGTATCAGCGATTCGTAATTTTTCACCTTGTTCTGTCATATATTCCATTTCAGACGGAATTATTGTCGAGCAAGTTCAAAACTGAACAGGAGAAAGCGGATGAAAGACAGAAAATTGAAATGGAAAAGCGCCGTTTGAGTGGAGCAAGCAACATCGGATTGGGACCAATGATCGATCGACGAAAATATCCTTTGACTTCCCAACAGCATCAGCCTTCACAACACCACTCTCCTATTTCACCAAGATTCAGTACACATCCACAAAAAAATCGTATCTTTTTCATTTGCAGTGATATTGCATTATTTCATTTCGTTTCCAGAAATAAATCTCACAAATTACTCATTACACCAACTGACCATCCATGAGCCAGAATTATTTGAACGAACAGTAATTACTGAAAGAAATTCGGTCTGAATCAATTAGTCTTTAGCGATTTCGAAATAAAGTTAACAGTTCATTTGGGTATTAACGGCAGAACGATGAAATGAATTATTGTTCTTTGTTTTTCGCATCATATTCCATTCAGTTTAGCCAGTGAATTTATCAATTTGAAGAAGTATCAGTCTCGTTGAATGATCACCGCGACAGTAAATGAATGTTCGATGTTGTCGATAATAAATGAACATTTTAAGGTTCGTTGTCGGATGATCGAATGCAACAGCTATCGCGATTACCAGCTCCCCCACCGCCCCCTAACCTATCCTCTTTACCGCCTCCCCCACCACCACCACCCGCACTCCCTCCGAGCCGTTTACCCCCTCCACCTCCGCCACCCAAGCCAACATACGCTAATGTAACGCCGATAGAAGATGCACTGTTGTCACCGTTATCGCGTCCACCCTCAGTACCACCGTATTCGTCGCCAACACCCGCCTCGGCATCAATCAAGCACTATCCCGATGTGCCGTCAACGTCGGCGATCGCCTCACAACTCTCCTCTTCCGACCTATCACCAGACCGTATCAAAGAAATGGCATCTGCGCTACAAGCGGTTTTTGCACGGATTGGTGATGCAAATTCGATGAAACTCCCAATCAGTAACGACGACGACGCAGCCGTAAATGATTATTCATTTGATAGCTTGCAGTTGTCATCATCCTCGTTCCTTCAACAACATGCTGATAGGAGACTTGATGAACTTCGTACGTCGTCAGATTTAGCGGAGACTGAAGCTGAAACTCCGAACTCAGATAGCATTGTTGATGATGCAAAAGTGGAACCGTCTTCATCTAATGTATTCATTCCTCCTCCTGCAGCCACTCACCTCATACCACTTCCTCAAACTGAACCAACAGCGAATTTACTGACTTCGAACATTTTGGAAGTAATACCACTTCCCGATGATGTTGATCGGCAACGATCACCACCAAATGAGTTGATAAGCATGCCTGTTGTAAGTGCTCCTATAACAACCCCAATTGATACGTCTCTTTCAAATTATCAATCAGATGAGTCAAAACCGATGTCAACTGCGAATGTCACCAAACAACAAACAGTCCAGTCGACAGCCGTCATCGATCACAACATAAGCGTTGATTCGGATGAGTGTGCTATCTCAAAACCAAACAGCGATGACGAAATAAGGCGAGATGTCAGTACAACCTTAAATTCAGTGCTTCAGATGGCTTCGGGTTCCGGTGAAACTAAACTGACGCCATTGGCCTTAAATGAAGACGTTAATATGACCGATGAAACAAGAGCGCAGTCCAGTGATGAGCTGCCAATACCTAGCTCGAGTTGTGAGATGAGTCAACTCGAAAAGGATGTGCGTAGCATCCTAATGGAGCTAGTGGCCACGGTGGTAGCATCCTATGAGTTGTTATCATTCAACGAAAATGTTTTGCATTTCTCATCGAGCAACTCGAGTGAAGAAGAACATCCCAAAGAGAATATTTCTGATGAAGCATCCATCTCACCAAATACCGTCTCCACTGATCAGGTATTTCATTTCATNCACTGATCATCACAAAATCAAATTCTGCGTCCAAAGTTATGCAGTTGAAAGACTCAGTTGTTCATTTCTCTTCTCTTTCCTAATGTTTCAAATCTTTTCCGGCATATTCCCTTCCAAAATGCACGTGAAATCCATTTGAATGATGCGTTATGCTGTAAATGAATGAATGTATAAGTTTCTTTTGTTTTGTTCATGGACAATTCCATTTGTATTTCAGGATAAAGAATCAACAAACGATTCAACCGCCAACTCCACTTCAAAGGAACCGGGGACTGAAAGGTTCATTCATTTATTGCTTTTTCTCTGATGCAATATGGATTGCAGTTCTTTTCTCGTCTGTCATTAATCCAAAACTAGAGCACAGATCAGAATGGCGGTGATGGCTCCAATAACGACATAATGAACCTAGAGAACTTCAGCTTGTTCCACAATACAGATTTTATGGCTAGGCACTTTTGTACCTAGTGTGCGTTAAGATGAACATTTTCAAAATCAGTGTTATGAAATGACAAAGAATATACACCGAATCAAATTCAACCGGTATTATGCATGCATTCTGGATGCCCCGCAACCGCATGCGTCTCATACAACATGCAGTATATGGCCACCACAATGTCCGCGTCCCCATCGTCGTTGTCATGTTCTCGCTAGCCAATTGCATTGTTTCATAATATCCAAAGGGTGTGGGATTTCTGCATTCACTCCTCAAGAGTGCTCACTATTTTGCGAGTAAAATCGAGTGCGTACGTAGTATCATCATTTTTTTTGGTAGTGGCCTTGCAGTTATCAGCATTCCTACTTCACTGAAACAGCTAGCTAAAATTGCGCAAAACTAGAAACAGAATAATTTGAAGGGTTTAAAGATTGCATACGCACGTTCTCTTATTGGTTAGAAAACGCACTTGGGGAGCACGTTACCCAGTCGATTCAAACCACAATAGCAATGCTGGAATAAAAAATAAAAGAAATGGGAAAGAAATTGACCGAAAAAGCAAAATTTCGGAAACTGTAGAGCACATTCTTTATAGATTTAATAAAAATTCAAGGAAAATATAAACTGTCATCAGAATGAATGTCATTGTTAGGCTGACACAATTTTGTTGCATCAATTGCCTGTGAGCATTTTTGGTCCCACCTTAGAATTACGTTATCATATATCGGAGAACGTGTGTTCTTTTGCACTAGTAACTTCAATATAATAGGGATGATTAGATTCGCAAATTCGTTTTCCTGTCAGCTCAGACAAATAGTTACGTGCTTGCTGTTTTCACGGTGTAACGTTTCAATGAAATTTACCTAAAGTCTACTTGTTTGGATTCCTCATCAATTCGAAATTGAATACAATCAGTGTTTGTTCAACTAGTGAACGTTTATCGCGTGTATTTGTAACTATTCGATATCAAGTCATCATTAAGCAAGTGTCAGCACGCAAAGAGATCATTTTAAAGTTCGGACCAAGGTCATTCAGTTGACACGTATAGATTGATCTGAACTCGTCATATTGAGAGGGAGGTGATCGCGAATAGTTTCATCCATCTTTGCCAGTCTTTCTGATCGGCATGAATGAGCTCAGTCCAGTGTCTTCTCTTGTCAGATGTGAATCGGAACCATTAGAAACATATCGTATTTTCTGGAAAAAAAGTTTTCATATTGGATTACACAGATACTTTTGATTGCTTATGTCGTTTTCAGCAAGCCTGATATCTGCGAGAAATTACTGCGTGATCCACGCTTATTACTCCAGAAGGCATCGGCTGTTTTGAAGAATTTAACTTCACAAGAAAATGTTAATGGTATATTTGTTTCTCATTCATATTGCCTATCTTTTTTTTCTTCATATTTTGCGAGTCCCATGATGTAATTCGTTAATTGTTTTCCAGAGGAACACGGTCAACACTACGAGCAGATAACTCCTGATCCAGACTATGAGATTCCAGAGGAGGACAAACCGTTACCTGAATTTCATGGTGAACCGGTGCCCGATTCAGATGATGACATCATCATTGAGGGAGTTTCAAAGCGAAAGTCGAATGCGGCCAAGAAGAACTCAGTGCAAGAAGAGGAGCCAATCCCTGGTGACGAACATGTTGAACTGGACTTCTGTATGTTTTATTTGATTGTTCACTGATGGAATTTTTCATAGGGAATTCCATTTTTTCACACNTTGTTGTCTTACTTTATTTAATCTTATAATCATTTAGCCATGACAAGCAGAAATCTTGTTTTGTTTGGTATCAGTTAATTGTATTTTGTGGTAGAGACGGTGAACTCTTTCAACCAGGGAAATCGTTAACTGTCACAAATGTGGATGGCGCAGTCATTTCTGTGCTGATCATCTCAACAGTATGGATGTATCGTTTTGTGTGAATGAGAAAATGCTACAGATAATGCCGATTTGCACATCAAGGCAAGTGAGACTGATCGTATGATAATCGATCCGGACAACGGTGACGGATTTGCATTGATGTGGGGTGGTGTTCGTTCGACGTACGGTATTCGTGTACCTCGGCAGTTCGACGATTCATTCCCTGTTACCGTTTTCCAAGCGAAGGTTTGTTTAATTTATTACTTTTTCTTTCCGTTATTCACGTGTTCATCGAGCGCAAACAAATTTTGTTAACTTTCGCTGTGCGATTCTGCTCTACGTTTTGTTTACTCCAGCTTAAATTATACAGGCTCATCGCGATAACATCTGTAATTCCTTATGAGTTATAGGTTCTTGAGCACTTAACGATGAAGCACATTCCCTTCGAAGAGGTGGATGCCTTCGACGCTCGTATTGGTTGGTCACTGCAAAATACACAAACGATCGTAAATTTTTTTCTTTGTCAAGTACCTCTGATCTGAAAATGTCATTCGAACGTGAGAATTCGTGGTAGAACTAGCAGTGATATTACTAAATTCAGTTTTCATCGAATTCGGGAATGAGTTGAAATTAAGATACATTACCAGAATTAAATCCAGCCTGTGAAATTAACGTTATTCAGGGATTTTTGTAAATGAACTCAGCAGATTGATTGCGGGAGGAATTTGATGCGTGTGTCATTGATTCGAGCGTCACAATAGAAATTTCAGCTAGGAGAATCAGCACATTCGTACTCGTTCAGTTTGACGGCGCGGAAAGCACTCGGAAACGTTTTTACGGATTACGGTGAGCCGTTCCAGATCGGTGATATCATCACAACTGCTGTTGTGAGTTTCATTTTAAACTATTCAATGTGCGTTTGTTCCGTCCCATTAAATTCACAACGGTTTCTGTTCTCTTTGTCGCTCCAAACATAAAACGTTATCACTTATCTTTACATGTGATCACCATCGCTCGTTATCATTTAATGAAGTGATTCTCCATCTGTACTACTAATAGCTATAAGTGCATTTGTTCAAGGATTTGGCCAAAGGCGAGATATCCTACTGGATAAATAAGCAGTGGATGGGCGTTGCCTTCTCTGAGGTTCATTTAATGCCCGATGAAGCACTCTTCCCTCATATTTGCACAAAGAACTGTAAAGTGGCGGTCAATTTTGGTAATTCCAAAGCGGATGATTGGATTGATTTGAGTGAGCTGAATCGGGACAATTCAAAGCAAGAGCAGCAGCAACAAAAGTTGACTTTTATTGATCACGTCTCAAAAGACAAACTCGTTCGAGGACCTGTTGCTCCATCAAGCAAAAACGAATGCACGGTTCGTTCGTCTTAAAATTCTTCATGTTCTCTGAGTCTTCGTTTGAAATGTTCCATTTTATTGAGCATATTTTATTTCCATTCGTATCATTAACTGACATTACTATGTTTTTGCTGGATAAAGCGATCATAGCGACAATTAAGAGTGAGCAGTTATACTATTCATGTTGGAAGATACTGTTCGGCGAATGTTAGTTCCATAAAGAGACATTGGTATAATTTAAGGTTTTGATGATGGTTGGTTTGCCTGGTGTTGGTAAGACGACATGGGTACGTCAATATCTGAAAGATCATCCTCATGAACAATGGACATTGATCAGTACGGATGTGATTCTTGCAGCGATGAAAATAAATGGTGTTGCCAGAAGTCGGGTGCATCAGGTATGTACATAGAGTTGGGGTGCGTTTCTAAGTTGGTGTTGATGTTACTGTAATTGTTTGCAGGGTCGTTGGGATATGGTGATGGGTTTAACGGCAAAGGCGTTAACACGTTCTTTACATTTGGCATGTCGGCGGCGACGCAATTATATTATCGATCAGACGAACGTTTCTAAAGATGCCAGGCGCAAAAAACTTTCGCAGTTTAAAGATTTTCAGGTTGTGATTTGTGTGCGAACCACTGATTGAATTCAAGCATATCCAGTTAATTGAAATGCTACATTCAATTGGTTTTTGAATTGTATTTAGTCATTCGATAGAAATAGAATGTATACGTTTTGAAGCGTAAGTGTGTCGTGATAATACCAAAGGAAGAGGAGATGTTGAATCGTCAAATAAGACAGTCACGCGCTGATGGCTTTGGACAGATACCCGTTGAAGCTATGCTTGAGCTGAAAGGTATTCTTTCAGAACTTTCGTAACTCATTCCAGTTTTGCACTGAAATAACTTAATGAATGTTAATTAGTTCAGAATTGCTCTTTCATCAACACTTTCTACTGAAATCTATTCTAATTTTAATCCATTCCTCTCTCAGAGAAGGAATCAGTCGAGCGCATTGAAGAGAATTCAGTTGAAAACAATTGATCATGATTTCGTATTGTGCACATCCTAATTGTATTTGAAAGATCTTCGTATTGCAGCCACATTCACCATTCCGAACATTGAAACCGAGCCAATTGAAGATGTTTATTTCGTTGAACCTCCAATTGAAAGGATCAGTGATGCCATTGAAATTGTCAGAAGGTTGGTTGACAAATACTCTTTTCATCTTATCATCCGGTTATTTTTATATTGAATTGTTAATGGGCTCAGAATATCAGCTGCGCAAGTATATGGTTCCTTTGTGAATTACAAATCNATTTCAGTATTTTGTTAGATCTAATTTCAGTATGCTAGTTTATTATTCGTTTGTGCTATGTGCTACGTTGCTGTCGATCGCTGTTCAATTTGATCAAATATTTTGCCAATCGTTTTCATTGAAATAATCGTTTCTTGCTGTCAGTCACCAAATGCTATCTATCGTTCAGATTTAACGAGGAGGCCAGACCGTGGTGCCAGAAGAAACGTGGTCGAAGGGGTGGTGGTGGTGGTGGTGGTGGTGACAATAGACGTTCGTATGGATCTCGTTCGAATGAAAATAGACAATTCTCGTTCAATTCAAATCGTCGACATTCATCAGGTAGTGATTAGGGTTTCCAAATTTCGACGATTTTCGCAACTTTTGAAGAAGCAAAATTGATCGACCGTGACGAATTGAATACAGAGCAACAGTGATGACACTATGAATAACGATGCTACTCTTGTTCTTTGGTTTTTTTTTTGTGTAAACGAAAGACGAAGTGGCGCCATTGTACAGTAATTCATCATTCCATTACCGCTTTGGTGATTAAAAAAACAAGTATTATGAATGAGCTGGAGATGGTTATTATTGCGTGATTCGAGATCGGTGTATTACCAAAATCACACAGGATGCCTTGTTCAGTCAAATCCCTGGATTTTGCCGAAGCTGATATCGGGGATCGGAATTCGGTATTCCGGGATGCTATACAAACCCTAGTAGTGACATCAAACCCATTTGATGGATTCTTTTNCACACACAAGTGCGATCCTATCGTTTGGCAATTACTTTCATTGAGATCGTTGTTTCGAAGCAATTCATTTGCAATAAATTATCGTTTACAGATTCTGGTGCTCCAAAACAATCATCCCACGCACAACCAAGGTTTGCGTTTTTGTTGTGCGACTGATCGTTTAGTTTCTGATCTAGTATTCCATCTCCTATTCTCGTCAATTCTAATGTTTTTTTTCAATTAAGTTTTCAATCTCTCAGAATTGTTTCCATTGAAGGAAATTTGGCAAAGCATGAACTAATAATGCAAATTTGTTCTTCAAGAATGTTTTTTTTTTTGATTAACGATGCTGCTCTTACTTCTTGGGATCTTCTTTTCCGTTACTTTTCGCAGACTTTTTGTCTCAGTCCATTTCAAAAACCGTTTTTCGAATACATTTGATGTGTTGTAGGCCAAAGGAAGGATACTGCGGCTTCGGTGGAGCAATGCCGCCATCAATGGTACCGACGTCCACTCTTTGGGCGGAACACAAAAGCACTTCTAACTAATAGTACATTGTTTGTATATTCAAATTTAGAATAAATCGTTGTTTCTCATTTGGAATAAACTGTGAAATTTCATATTTTTGAGTATGATCTAACAAATAGTGTATGCGTTCTGCTTGTGTGCGTTGATTGTCATAATGCCATCGAGCGCATGTTTATCATTTATGCATATTACGAAGCGTGTTCGTCATCGGCCGGTTTCTTTTTGCGTTTTGTTATACATGCGTAGGACTGATTGTAAGGGTATTGCCGAAGTGCGCACTGGACTCTCGTCCTCTGTTTATGTGCGTTCTCAAAGAATTCCAATTCACTTGAAAATTGCTGATAGAAATTGGCCGAGTAAAGCGACCGACTGACTAAATCGTCAATTGAATATGAACATGGAATATGTAACGTTTGATTGAGTGCTTAATTGATTGAATATTATTGCATTAACATTTCATGTAAAATAACACATAGCATATTGTTTAGTTGTTTTCTAGTTCATTTTCATTTGTTTTTGTATAAAAGTGTCAGTGTTTTCACGTTGTTTTCTATGGTTGAATACGATTGTTGTGCTCAAGCGATCACTGTGTCGGTAGAAAGCGATGAAAATTGTGGAAAGCAAATTTTGCTCGCTCGCGTTCATCCTTATTTCAAATCCGAATCAAAGCTCTGAACTCACAAATATCGATGTAATCTCTAGAGCCATAAATTTCATGACGTTGTGCACTAAAAATTTTTTTTTAATGATGAATTTTGTGGCATCGCTTTCAAATTTTTCTTCAACCTATTACAACTAGGAGAATTTTGTTTCGTCTGTGCGTTTCTGGATTCGCTGATCTTTTCTTTTTTTCTGTGTGCAATGAAGAGGTAGGGTCAGTAGAGACGAATGCAGAATATTACAGATTATTTTCACACAATTCATCATTTCTGTACATTTGTTAAACACAGTATAACAATTTTTAAATTAGAAGGGGGTGTTGAAAGCGATTAATAATAAAGCGACTTGCCGTAAAGAACTGATAACTCTTCGGTGCATCTAATCCGTTCCATCATTCGTCTTCATGCTCATTATTTTGAAGTTCAATTGTGTGAGCAATAAAGGACAATCTCCTATTATGCACTATTTATCATTAGAAAAACTTTCGGAACAATAATCCTATCCCTCTGTCGATCGTTATCAACATTGAATATTCTCTCGGTCGTCCAACAATTAATTCGTTTCTCGTTTGGTGTTGAACACAAGCAGGTTGAGATGTTAACTGTTGATCTCTGCTTAAATTTTAATAATTTGCCCCGTTCTACCAATTTATATTTTCGTTCTTCCGTAAATTTTGTTATGATTTGTATTCCCGATCTTAGCATATTTTGTTGATTGATTTTTTTTCGGTTGTTATTGTGTTGAAATAATTCGTAAATTTCTTTGTCTATATAATAAAGGTGTTTCGATCCCCATATTGCGATTCGTCGAACACGACGACACAGTCGAATTGTAAGTGTTCGAATGATTACTTTCGTATATTACGAAAGTTTAAAATTATACGACTGACTTCTTATAATTTCAAATGTNCAACAAAATTATACGATTTCGTATAATTTTAAATTGAATGAATGTTCGACAAATTTTTTAGTACATTAGAGAGGTATTGGGATGATGAAATGAGATCATACCAGGAACGCTCTTAGTATTGTCTCGTATCATCACGTTTGTTCAGGACAAACTTTGGCTTTGTGTCGACGTTTTCGAGAATTAAAATTTACTACAAATTTGTCAATGTCAAGAAGGTTTTCTCAGTTTCATTAAGGCTCTTCGAAGAGAGTAAAAGGGGTTTGTTGGCTGGCAAGTTTGAGTGGTTGATAACGTTTTCGGGCGAGGAAATGATCCTCTGGATTCATCTAGAATACATCGTGATCACTTGTTGTGGATGGCGGGATAGTGCAGAGTTGATTTTATTCACAATATGAACGATCAGTTCTAGTTGTCATTCACAACAATGTATTCTGTTCAAAATTTTCGCATTTCCCATCGTTTTTCAAACCCTCGTTGAATTCATTCTTTTGAAATGTGGAATTCCTCAGTTCTGTAAAAACGTTCAAATGAGATAAGTCTCCATCTCGTGCCATCCCAAAACATTTGATGGCGATCGACCGAAGTTCGGTGGGTAAAGTCCGACTAATCTCGGAATCTCAAAAGGTGAATTCGGTTGGGCCCCGAGTGAGGAATTTCGGAGTTTGGTCAGAATACCGAATTTCGGAATGTTGAAAAGTGGATGCGGTTGAATTATGACAGAACTGAAATTTCGTTCGAATGCCACCATTAATTTGAGGTAGCTGTTGATCATTATCTCTTGCATCTTTTCAAAGTTATTTCTCAAGTTTCACCCTAATTTTACAACGGATTAGATGTTTCAATTCGTCGTATACTCTATTTCATTGTATACTCTAGTCAAGCACTTTGAGGTCCTGTTTGTTTAACAACCATAGTTGTACCAGAGAACCATATCAATCAGATATTCACGAAAGGAAAGTAAAATTTCAGAACCAAAACTGAGCAAACAATACATATTTACCGACAGTCTATTGGGACAATCTTTCTGAAAGGAAGGTTGAAATTGCGGGGTGTTTAAGTCGCTCATTCGATAGCGTAAAGTTTTAAAAAACTGTGGTGAATATTTCGTGAGAAAAGTGCACTGAGAGGCTTGTTTGCTGATGCGTAGATTATAAGCTGTTTTCAACAGCAGAATGTTGATCCAAAATTTTGTTCAATTTCTCAATATCGATCCAAAATGCCTCATTCATTTTGTGATCTTCGGACAAACTTTGAAGGAAAAAACAATTTAACGAAGTGATGTTGTGCAATAACTGAATGAATAAACGTAGAAAAGATCGATCAAACGACTCAGAAATAAGTAAACTGTCTATCAGACTGAATGAGAAAGCAAGCACACATGAACTTTTTTTGAGAGTAACAATGAAAAGTATGATACAGGGTAATGGTGAGAAAACGATTCAGAATTGCCGATTGGTGTTTATGAGT